ACAACCAGAGGTCTTGCAAACTGGCAGATTGACAAATGAGAGGACACACCTGAACAGACATTTGGAATCTTCCATGGTAGTCATCACTGAGAGATTTGCCTTTCACCTGTAGACCTTTGGACAGATTCAAACTGCCTGAGGAGCTATTATCAAACTTTCAAGTGAGGTAGATTAGTAGACAATATGTATTGCAACCTGAATAAATAGTGAGCCATAAATGTATCCATAATACAGCTGATCTGAAATGATCCCAATTATCAACAGAGAAGAATGTTCTAAGTTAAAGGGGTTTTTTTTGAGTAAAAATGCCAATTGTGACAGAGAGTTATACATTTTCTGCCCACCAAATCCCCATTAAAATGACAATAAGAAGAAATATAAGCAGAAAACAAAAAAGAAACTAAAAAATGTAAAAGCTGGAAAATGAAAAGAATAATTTAAATCCCCCAAACAGAGAGGAAAACTCACAATTAATGAAGATACAATTTGTAAAATTCTCACTTATTTAAGGCAGGACCTTGCCTTCTGGGAGAAAGGCGAGGCTAGAGTCAGGGAGGTGGGAAGTACACAGGTAAGCATGCACACAGTCACATCGGGACCTGCTGTTCACCCTGGGGTGGGTAGAGTAGAGGGTCAACTTGTCACAGTAGAAGGGAGGGACTGTGTCAAGGGAATGCAAGTGATCAAAGTTTCCAGGATGCTGAGACCCCGTCTCTAACTCTGTCTTCCCTCTCTTGACTTTAAGAATATCAGCAACCAGGTCATCACTTTCCCTGCAGGTGTCTGAAAGTCCCTCTTCTGGAGAACTGGAGAAACTCAAAGGATTAGGTCATTGATACCAGCTCAGAGCTTCTAAGTGCTACTTTTAAATATGTAAGGCAGGATGACTCAGTTAACCAGATACCTCAGGAGCCTCCACCATGGGAAAGATACACCAGAAAAAAAATAGCAAACAGTAGGGAAAAACTAAAGAGTAGGAGGGAGAGGTTGCATAGAAAGGATGTGCCATTGACTGTATATAGACTTTTCAACAGCAAAAGTGAAGTTAAAATTTAATGGAGAAATGACCAAGATGCTAAAAATTACCATTGTATTTTCCTGTACTGATCTAAAGCCTTAGTCATTAATAATGATAGAATAAAGTCTATTCATTGAGTGGACTCTCTCTCCACGCAAGAGGATAGAGGACAGTGTGGCTTCGGAGTTGATAATCAAGACCTCTGCAGACCAGGCAGGAAGCAGGTTCGATTTTATTGTGCAGTTACCATTATATAATCTCGGGCAGTAACTAAGCAGATTACAGGCAGCGACCAATGCAATTTCTGCTAACTGTCCTTGCAGTGACCAATTGAGGAGTGGGCTGTGGAGCAAGTGCAGGGACTGCAACACATGGCCTCGTGCCCAGGGCTGTACTGGGGTAAGCAGCCTGCCACTCATGAGCCTAGCATGGGGAGATGGCCTGCCACTGAGACCCCCTTAATGTATGCCATGTATGCAGTACTCCGTGCACTTGTCTCCACAATTCATATATACAGTGCAACAATTTTACTGATCATTTACATGTTCAGAATTGATTAGAGTGCCATATTACCAAAATTACCATATTACCTAATCAAAATAATGTATACCAAGAGATACAGAGATATGAAATTTAGAAATGGGTGATACAACACAAAATGGGCAGAAAGAATCCCCAGAGTGTAGTACTAGTCATCATAGGATCATCAATCAATCCTGTAAGTGGCTCTGAAACAGCTATTTAAGAAGAGGTTGTGGGTGGGATTCTTGAAGCTTCTAGCAACTTGAGAAGACAATTCCTTGCTGGTGCGGAATGCAATAGTGTTTCATACGCGGCCTACTAAGAATTCAAACATCCAGGGCCATGATCAAAATTTTCCAGGCCAAAGATTACAGGATATAGTGATGACAGACCAAATAATATAGACTCTGAGTATCAACATACTACTAAACAACTCTACAGACAGAGTACTGGTTATGAATGGCTTCAGTGTGTAGTGGGTACAATGTGGGCTAAACCATTAATTTCCACAGTGCTGATTCAAAGGACAATACCTAAAGCTAAAGATAAATGAAAAATTTATAAGAATATGCTTTAAAAATATCATAATAAATACACAAATAATCACAAGTGGTGAAAGTGGTGGTCTCTTTGGATACAGCACCCATTCGTTTTAAAAACACTAAAGAAAATAGGAATTTACCTCAACATCATAAAGGCTGAATGTGACAAACCTAAAACCAACATCATAATAAAAGGCAAAAAACTGAAAGTATTTCCTCTAAAATGAGGAATAAGACAAGAATGTCTATTCTCACCACTTCTATTCAACATAGTACTTGAAACTCTAGCTAGAGTGATTAACATGAAAAGAAAAGTCAAGGAATACCAATAGAAAAAGAAGCAGTCAAATTGTCTCTCTTTGCTGATGATATGATCCTACACATAAAGACCCAAAAAACTCCACAAGAAGACTTTTAAAGTAAAATAGCAGGTACAAGTTCAAAAAACAAATATCAAAATATTTCTTATGCATCAATACTGAGCTTGTTGGAAAAAAAAATCAGAAAAACAATTTCATTCACCATAGCCTCAAAAATAATTAAGTAAGTAAAAATACTTGAGAATAAATCCAATGAAGAAAGTGAAACACTTCTACAATAAAATGATAGAATACTAAAGAAAGAAATTGAAGAGCACCTTAGAAGATGAAAGATTTCCTATGTTCTTGAATACACAGGTGGACAAAAGAGTCATATTACCAAAATGGATCTACCGATTCAATGAAATCTACATGACTATACCAATGAGATTCTTCACAGCAATACAAAAATGCAGTCCTAAAATTCATATGGAAGAATAAAAGACCCAGAATAGCCAAAGCACTTTTGAGCAAAAGAGCAGTACAGGAGGGTATCACAATACCTGATCTCCAATTATGCTTCAGAACTAGAGTAAGAAAATCACGGTGGTTTTCCCATTAAAGTAGACATAAGTAGACAATTAAAATAGACAATGGAATGTAATGAAAGACTGACTTGGAAACAAATCCACATAAATAAAGTCATCTGATGCTTGACAAAGGTGTCAAAACCATATTTTATGGGCTGGGGTTGTGGCTCAGTGGTAGAGAGCTTGCCTAGCATGTGCAAGGCCCTGGATTTGATCTTCAGCACCACATAAAAATAAATAAATAAAATAAAGGCATTGTGTCCAACTACAACTAAAAAATAAATATATATTTTTTAAAAATACAGCATATTTTGGGAAAAACAGCCTTTTAAACAAATGGTGCTCAGAAAACTGGATATCCAGCTGTCTAGATCCCTCTCTCTCAATCTGCATAAAAGTCAACTGAATCAATCAGTAGGATAGTGTCAAGTTAAAAAGATTCTGCAGAGCAAAAGAAACAATAAAGACTATGAAGAGAGAGCTTAAAGAACGTGAGAAAATCTGTGGTGCTATCTTCCCAAAGGAGATTAATATTCAGAATATAGGAATAACTGAAGAAACCTATCACTAAAAGAAATAATCCAATCAATAAATGGGCAAATGAACTAAACAGACATTTCTCAAAAGAAGAAACAATAATGGCCAACAAATTTACAAAAAGAAAAAATGTTCTATATCCTTAGCAATCAGGGAAATGAAAATCAAAACTACACTGAGATCTCATCTCACTCCAATTAAAATGGCAATCAAGGATACAAATAACAATAAATGCTGGTGAGAATGTGGGGAAAATGTGCCCTTATACATTGTAGGTGGGACTGCAAATTAGTATAGCCATTTTGGAAGCAATATGAATATTCCTCAAACCACTAGGAATGGAATCACCATATGACCCAGCCATCCCACTCCTTTTTATTTATACAAAAGAACTAAAATCAGCATTCTATACTTCGTTATACAGGCATACCCATGTTTATAGCAGTGTAATTCACAGCAGCCAAGTTATGGAACCCACTTAGGTGTCTGTCAAGAGATGAATGGATATAGAAACTGTGACATATATAAACAACTGAGTTTTACTCAGTCATTAAGAGATGAAATTATGTCGTTTTCTTGCAAATGGATGTCACTGGAAATCATTAGGCTAAGTAAAATATGCCAGACTCAGAAAGTGAATGGTTGAATATTTTCTTTTGTATGTGGAAGATAGAGAGAAAATGCATAAAAGGAGAAATGGAAAAGGGATCTTATGAAAACAAAAGGGAGACTAACAAAGTACGGGTAGAGGATTGAGAGGGAGAATGAAAGGGAAGGCACGGGAAAGTACTGGGGAATGAAATCTACCAGATTATGCTATTTCATATACAAATATATCACAATAAGTTCAGTTTTTTTTTCTTTTTGTGGGAGGTCATGGGGAAGGTACCACAGATTGAACTCAGGGACATCCCACCACTGAGCCAAATCCCCAGCCCTATTTTGTATTTTACTTAAAAGACAGGGTCTCACTGAGTTGCTTAGCACCTCGTTTTTGCTGAGACTGACTTTGAACTTGTGATTCTCCTGCCTCAGCCTCATGAGCCTCTGGGAACATAGGAATGTGCTACCACACCCAGCTCCAGTTTTTATATATAGGTGTAGATGGCATTAATTAAAACAACAACAATAGTGGAGATAAGTAGAGCAAGTTGATCAGGGAAGAGAAGAGGGGAGGGAAAGTGAAGACACTAGGGAATGAGAGTGATCAAATTATATTTTGTGCATGAATGAATATGGCATAATGAATCCCACTAACATATATAATTATAATGCACAAATTTAAAAACATGAAAAATTTAAATCCTTAAGTTGTATTGCCTATCATAAACATATAGATATTTGCATATTCATATGTAAGTCTGACATTCTTTAGGATTAACTAGGCTTCAAGCGGATGTATAGTTAAAATGGGGTGGAGAGATTATGGCTCAATTCAGAAATTCTTAAACTTCAAGGGACTAGAAGGAACCAGATGAACTTTCATAGAATATTGATTTAACAATTTATTGCTTTTTATTATGAATTGAATTGACCAACATAATGAAACATGTTCCAGCCACTAAGTATTAGGTATTAAGAGTAGATTTTTAATAACGAGTCGTCCAAGAAACTGAGTTATTTTTGAAACATTCATGGCCTTCTTCCAAACTGTTAAAAATGAACCTCCTGTGAAAATAGAAACATTTGTGCTTCCAGTTAATAAAAATGTGAATACAACTCAGAAACCTCAAAATATACAAAATAAGTTTTTTTTAAATTACAAGGTTTATAGAATATCATTATAGCTCTACCTGACAATTACATTTGGCATAGAAACAAGAAAATGTGAAGGAAATGGATCTGACAAAATATTATCAAACAATGCTATAACCACCATATTATATGGAATCAATATAGGATAATTTCTAAGTATGATTATGCTATTTTAAATTTTAAAAATTAAGACCCACAGCCATGCCCTTCTTACCCCTGCTTAGAATGTTTTGTTTTCTGGTTTAAAGGTTTTGCTAAAAGGAAGGAGAGTAGGTAACTGTTCATTATTCAAATGACAATAAAACTAAGAAATATCTGGCAAGTTTATAACCCTGGGCTTAGAGTCAGTGCAAGAAAAGATGGTTTGAAGCTAATGCATCTACCCAATTCTAATTCTAACATGCTGATATTTAAATGTATAATATTTATATAATATTTGATAGCTTAAATTTTTAAGGAAGAAATGACTATATAGTGAAAAATATTCCCTCAGGGATTCAAGCTAGCCTCTAGTTTAAATCTGTTTTAGATCTAATATAAGGTGTATGACTTTGGGCAGTTATTCATCTTCAATGGAACTTTTAACTCAAAAATAAGGATATTTATCACCCACTTTGTATAATTGTTATAGACATTAAATGAAACGATATATGAAGATTTTTTTTCATTATATTTACCTGATGATCAATAAATATATAACTGCCTTTCTCTATTCCTGGTCTTTCTACTTTCACCTCAACCATCTCTATTACTCATTATATTCTCTATCTTGATGGACAACGTTAACTTACACTCCTCTAACTGAACAAATAAAAAAATCAGTGAGTCATCTTCCATGCCCCTGGTAAAATACAATTGCCAAGTGTTAATGATCTGATATCTTCAGCCCCATTGAAATCTGTCTTGTCATGTTGACTTCCACAGCTATTGCCATATTAATCTTGTGACTCTTATCAAGAGTTCCAGATTCAGACCCTTACAATTTACCCTCCAATATCTTTAGTCTTTGTAGCTTCTAAGCCTAAGACATTATATCACTTCCATGCTTAAGACGTATTAGCTCTCCTTTAATCAGTCCAAACATGAGGGAACTGTGCAACTCACAGTGATTCCCACAGTTATATATCTATAGATGCTCATTTTCTTTGGGAAAACCACCCTTCCCTCTCTGATGTAGACTCATGATCAATGGAGATAGCAACCTCTTATGTATTCCCTTTTTCCTGTATTACAATTATGGATCAGAACTTGGGCATCTGCCTTCAGTTCAGCCATTTTTACTCTAGTATCTAGTGTTTAACCTAGATACCAGAGTAAAAATGACAAAATAATCATATGTTCAGTGCACAGGAAGAAACTAACAAGTTAATCATTATATGATGTACACAATGGAAAGGGTAATACTGGAAAGTCTACTTTAATATAATAAGGGATAAGGATGCAATTCTTGGTACAGACAGGTTAGTCAACAGAATGGTCAGAGTTGTGGTCAGAGAAAGTAAACCTTTAGAGAAATTGAAAAGAGGTGCAGGGGTCCATCACTGAAGGAATGCAGGGAGGTGGATAATTATAGATAGTATGCCATGCCTGGGAACTGTGTACCCAGTCTGACAGCAATGGTATGGTGCTACAGAGGCAAGGGAGAGGTACAGAGAAATAATACAGGGTATGATTATCACAGATTGCTGGATTTTAATCTTAAATCAGAAATCAGAATGCTTTTAGGATAACAAAAACAATTTAAGATACATATAAGATATTGATTTTAGAAATGCTGTTACTGCAGTAGCTAAATGATATATTGAGAATGATTTATCCAAAATCTAATTAAGATCACATAAAGAAATAATAATGAAACTTTTTGAGAAATGATAGTTTCCCTAGAAAAATCCAGATAATAGAGAGGAGGGAATAAAATAAAGTCTGAAAAGACTGAAAATGAAAGAACTTCATACTTTAGGAGAAACAACTTATAGAGGAGCATGAGTGTATGATACAGAAAATGTAAAATATCTGTGAGATACATAACTGAAAATTTCCCAGTGTTAATGTAAGGGCAAGTGTTTCAGAGTTAATGTTTGATAGTTAGGTCGTGGCCAGATATACCAATGACCATACTGGCATTAATGCAAACAGACTGCTCAGGTGTTTTATCCAGAAAGAGTGAAAAGAGCATCAGGCTGAAGACAGAAATTATCCTAAAAAATGGAGGAAATGGAAAAGCCTAGAACAAACAAAACGTACTTTGTTAGTGATATGGGGAATGAGTTAGCTCCCTCTGTGCTTTTTCCATATGCTATATCAAAGTAATATATTAGTGTATTAATGAAAATATACTGTGATCATTTATATATCTATTTTACTTAGTATGAGGTCTTAACTTTTTTTTACAATAATTACATTCAGCTTACTAAAAGAATGATAACCAATAATTCTTATATGACTTTGAGTCATTCAAGTTTTGATTGCATTACATTTTATAAGCATACCTGTCATTTGATTTATGTTAGAAATGAGTGTAACTGAGGACATCAGTGCTTTTTCTCGTATGTTGAAGTCACTTGTGAGAATTGGATCATCTTCATCTGTGAGTGGCCTATGTGGGAAACCCACTAGAAATTCTGCTGAACTTTCAAAGAAAGAGTGATATATTGCTGCTGCACAAAATTCTATGGCAAGTAGAAAATTGAAAGTGAAGTCTCTTTCAGTTGCAGAAGAATATTGGAATCTAAAAGAGATAATTAGCAACATGAGTTACAAAATACTTTATTATAAATGCAAATAAAAGACCAAATGTGTTTTTTTCCTGTGTTCCTTAGATTTAGTATGCAATTTACTGACCAGTTTACTCACCAGAATCTACAACACCTCATGTGGGAGTTAATCCCCACAATATCTTCTGTATTCTACCTGGCTGAACAATCTCTTGAACAGAGAAAGAGAAGCCTAAATTTTGAATTATAATTTTGAAAAATATAGCATATAGCAATCCCTCTCTTAACTTCCATAAGATTTATTCTTCTCCATTCCCCATTGTATTTCTCCTATAGTTAATTTCTACCATACTCACTTCTTTGAGCATTAATTGCTATAAATGAAGGAAGCTCAGGGACTGGGTAAAATGAATTAACATAATAAGTAGAGGGTTATCTGACAGTAATTTCTTAGAATTTTCCAACAAAAAGCACATTTTACACTAATGCTTATTAAATTCAGATTGTTAGAATATATTTTCATTTATGGAAAGTAAGAAATGGATTCAGAATTTGCTATAGTATCAAAGTAACTTCTTGGTTGTGACTTGGGTAATAAGCAGTTCCACCTTTCTTTTGATTCCACTTCATTTAAAGTTTTGAAGTTACAAATTGAAATATAATTCTTTATTGCAAAAAGTAACTGTAAAAATTTAATAAAATATAATATTAAAATTATATGTTTGATGATATCAGAGAGACAACAAATTTTGAGAAATTATAAAAATGGAATTTAGAATTGTAATGCAAAATAATAATAATAATAATAATAATAGAGTTCATGTAAAAATAAATAAATAAAAATTTAAAAAAATGGAATTTAGAAAAAAAGGAAGCCATGTGGTAAGTATGATATATGTGGATATTGTCCACTCAAAATAATAGATGTTTTTGAGTGTATCCATTTTCTAATCCACATCTTCTTTTGCCTTTGAAGACTGTTGTGCAAATGTTGAGAAGATGAGAAGAGTCTGAAGAATCATAGACTAGGAGAAGAAATATTATAGTTAATGACTAATTACATAGGAGATGCCCTGATATATATTCCTAAATTTCATTTAGGACCAGGCATAAAAATAATTCTCCGTGTAGTGGAATAATACCATCCATAGGCAAAAATTTTCCCTACAATTTTCAATTGAATTTTCTAGCACACATCCAATATATCTGAGTAAATAAGAAAATAAATATCTGAAAAGCAAGAGGAAACACACAAACAGATACATGGGCATTCATGAATAACAAGATGCAAAAGAGATACATATATTGGAGCCATTAGGGGTGGACTTTAAAATAGACATAATAATGAAGGGTAAGTTGATAAATTTTAGAAGACAGCTTATATAAAAATTTAATCAAATGGAATTCCAATAGTAAATTTGTAATAACAACTTAAGATTTCAGTGGAAGAATTTAACAGCAGAGCACATGTAGCAGGCAGAATGAAACAAAAAATAACATTGTATCATGTATCAGAAGATGAGAAAGAAAAATAACATAGAAAAAAGAGATGAAAGTAATGAAAGTACATAAAATCATGAAAATTTCCTGTGGTACAAGAACAAAAGGTTTAATCTATATTTAAGGAAGTTTCTTAAAAAGAGCATTTTTACAAATCAATAAAATCAATATTGGAAAAGAAAGTGACTGAAAATTTTCCAAAACTAATGAAAGATACCCAGCTACAAATCTAGCAGCTACAAATTCCAAGCAGATTCATTACAGAAAATATGTCAAGGAATATAAAAGCAAAATTACAGAAAAGGCAAAGAAAACATTTAAAATTGGACAAAAAAAGTCTAAAAGTAATCAATAGAAAGTTAGCTTTAGATTTTAAAAGTGGACATAAGAAGTAACCTAGAAAAAAACTTCCTAATAGAAAATGTAGTTAAATATATATGCATATATAATATACATATTTATACATGAATACACAAATTTATAAAATTGAGTTATATAACAAATTAAAATATTCTTTAGAAATAAAAGCAAAAATCATAAAATTTTAGACAAACAAATTGAGAGTATTTGTGATCAGAAATCTGAAAGAAAGCAATTTCTAAAAGGACTTCTAAGGAGAAAAAAAACAATATACTAGAAGATGATTTAGAGATGTCAAATGAAATATAGAGGAATGGGAAAAAATATAATTCAGGTGCTGCTAAACAAATGTTACTTTTTAAAATAATTACTTGTAATAATATTTATCAAGTTAAATTACTACAATTGTACACCTTTCCCTTTTCACAAATAGTGAAGTCTCTATATTTACCTCCTTCAGAATATCAAACTTAACAAAGAGCAAAGCATGAATATAAGTGACTTATAGACACCTACTTCATTGGAGTACATATGGGAAATTTCTAAATTTGTTGCTCCAAAAACCAAGACTCAACAAATCACAATGGATTAACATCATACAAAATTATTTTTTTTACATCACAAAAGATTCATAACAACAACAAAAACCCCAGGAAACTTCACATACTTTATATATTTGGAAATAAAGTAATACATTGAAACTAGGTTGAAGAAAAATTCACAATAAAAATTAGAAAATAACATTTATTAAATGTAATGAAAACATGACATACTAAAATTTGTGGGATATAGGTAAAATCATATCTAAAAGAACGCTATACTCAATGCATCTGAATTATCTACAATTTCATTTCTTTTTTTTTAAATAACTTTTATTTATTTATTTTTATGTGGTACTGAGGATCGAACCCAGGGCCTTACACATGCGAGGTGGTCACTCTACCGCTGAGCCATAACCCCAGCTTCTACATTTTCATTTCTTGATATGAGTAAAAATAACAAATGAAAACAAATTAGCTGAAAAAGGCAAAATTACAGTTAGGAGAAAAATTAAATAAAATATAAGCCTCAAATAGAATTCTAGAAGTGAAAAATCATTCTTAGATAAAATGTGAGAAAGAAATTATACCAATTTTACACAAAATCTTCTAGAGGTAGTTTACAACTCATTCTCTGAGCCAGCATATCTCTTTATAGTCAAAGTTAGACAAAATAGGAAAAGCAAATATCCAGAAAATATTGCTGAAGAGTGTAGATAAAAAATTAACTATTTCAGTTTATCAGATGAAGTAACAGATAAATAGATAACCATATTATGGCAATTTGATTTATTCCAGAGGTGAAAGATGAATATGTCATCTGAAGCCAATCTATTTTTCACATTAACCAAAAAATGAAGAAAAAAGTCACATGATTTTCTAAATATCTGCAAAAATTATGTAGTGATTCAATGTCTATTGATAAGCAAAAATAGCAAGCTAAGAGTCGAAGAACAGATGTTATCAGACAAAAGTTATCTATCATAATTCTTATCCTAATTTTACCGCTTTTATTCAACATTGTACAGCAATGCAATTAGACAATAAAATTAAGCATCACAATTTTAAAGGAATAAATTCCCAATATTTACATAGTAATTTATATGTGTAGAATATGAAAAAAACCTTCTAACCTATTAGAAAGTAATAAGTGAAGATAGCAAGATTCTCAGATATTAAATTATCCAAAAAAATCACTTGTATTTGTACATATACAAGTAGCAAAATAAATGGAAAAATATTATTTACATGAAATGGCACAACTTCACTAATAAGGCATGGACTAATGGGGATAATTGTAGGCTCGTGGGTGTGGTTGAAGGAAGCAGGTCACTGGGGACATGGCCTAGTTTACACCTGTCTATCTCTTCCTTCTGCTCTCTCTCCCACCCCTCCCCCTCTGCTTTCCAGCTGCAATGAGCTAAGCAGTTTTTCTCCACCATGCCTTTCCACCATGCCCTTCCACCATAATGTTCTGCCTCATCTCAAGGTCAGAGCAAAAGAGTCAGTCAATCATAAACTGGGACCTATGAAACCACGACCCCCAAATAAACTTTTCCTCCTCTAAGTTATTCTTGTCAGGTATTTTGATTGCAATGATGAAAAGCTGACTGATTCAGACATAAGAACTATTTTAATATGAACAATATTGTCAGAGAATACCATGAAACTTCGTTCTGAAAGAAGTGAATACATACAAGATCCTTTTATTCTTCTTTGGTGGATGAAATGACTGTAATTTGAGTTGCAGATAAAAATGGTAAAGCTATTTTCTAAACATTCTGGAAAATATGAAAACTGTATATTTAAGGGAAAAAAGCAAACACCATACATATTATACAGTACAAACTAGAAAGAAACTGATATTTAATTGTATCACAGAAGGTAATTATCTTACATGTCATTGAACATTGGTTTTCCAATGTCAATGAGGGCTTGATGGGCATCCCACATGTAAAGTATTGCTGTGTCTTTATCAGTGTTGTACACAGGAGTACCTCCAACAATGGACAATATCTTCCTGGACTGCAAATACTTCAGAAAAAAATATGATCAATTGTGAATAGAATTCAAAGCCAAATTAAAATAAATTTAATCACTCTGCTCACAAACTCCCGACTGAGAAATACTAGACTAGATGATTGTCTAGACATAGATTTATTATCAAAAAAAATTTAACAATTGAAAATGGCATTAACTTATCATTTTCTTTACACAAAGATTTATGCCAATTTGCTTATAAAAATTATAATTTGATACTTATTTTTATATCAATTTTACTGAAAAACACTTTTAAAAATAAAGTTATACTAGCTTATTGCTACTTTTCCATTTAGTATCATTTTAAGATACCAAGAAGAATATTTCCAGAAAGGGATGTCATTCTATACTAATAATTGTAAATGTTTAGTAAATTTTAAAACCATAAATCTAATGAAAGATGTTTACTGTCTTTATTCATGCAACTCAGAAAAAAAAAATCACTGCATTCTTTTACCTGGTAAAACTTTTTGGCTGTATCCATAGCTTGTGGGAAGGATGCATGACATTCCTCAATAGAATAACAGAAGTAAGACCTGTGTTCTTCTGGAGATAGAAACACTATCTCCTGTGATATATTTCTCAAAAACCCAGATTCAATTGCAGCAAGAAAATATATCGTAAGCACATAGAAATTAAAGCCTACAAAGTAATAGAAGAAAGGTGTCTAGAATTAATATCTATTCAAGAGAGGAACTAGAGAAAGGACTATGGCTCTGCCTATGTAACTCCGTCAGTTTATTCCACAAACTATTGTATTGGAATTTGTTCTCTAAGAAATACAAAAGATTGAAAGAAATTAGGGTTAATCATAGTCAGGAAATCTTTCATGCTGGGGGATTGTTGGTGCACATAGTTACAAATATACATAAATCTCCCTAATTAAACCAATTTCCCAAATATAGATGTTGTATATTTCCTCCTCAAACAGGAAGCATATAAAAAAGATGTGGCAAAGGAAAATATTTCCCTCAGTTGGTGTATATATGTATGTACATAATATTTAATACTTATAACTTGTGGAAACTCTTTGCCTAAATTGAGGAAGAAGTTTTGAATTTATTTGTTTCCCACCCTCCTTTTAGTTCTTTGTGATATCCATGTTTCTTTTAAAAAAAAAATTAAAATATGTTCTAATTAGTTATGCACGACAGTAGTATAAATAAAGTATAACTTCTCATTCTTTTGGTTGTACATGTTGCAGAATCACACTGGTCATGTAATTCATACATGTGCATAGGGTAATAAAGTCCAATTCATTCTATTATCCTTCCTTCTCCATACCTCTTCCCCTCCCTTCACTCCCCTCTGCCTAATACAAGTGCCTCTATTCTTCCCTAGCAAACCTCCTCCCCTTATTGTGAATTAGCATCCATGTATCAGAAAAAAAATTGGGGCTTTGGTTTTTTGGGATTGACTTATTTCTTATTTCCTTTCTATCCAACCTGCTGGACATTTCCTTAACTTTAAATTCAATATATTTCTTTAGATTCTTAAGGCTAACTCATTTCAACCAAGGGCTCACTCTTAGACTCCTACACAAAGAGTGAGCAATTTCTCTGTTTGGATTGTTTATCTATTTCTGAGTTCCTGTGTTCACCTTGTGTAATAGGACTCTATCAGCTTCCAGGCCTGGGTTTATCATAAACCGATTTCTCAGAGGGACTTCTGTGGTCACAGGTATGATTCAATCCCTTCTGTCAGTGTAGTACATCCTCTGGTTGTTAAGTTTCTGCTTAACAACCAGAGAATAGTTTTGGTTGTCGATATGATTGATAATGAGAAGCAAAGATAAATATGACACAAAACATGAGGGCAAAAACAAGTCATGGACAAAGGATTGCAAGGAATATTCTTCTGTCATGTGGATGATAAGTTATTTCCTCATTATTCAAAGCCTGATATGCTCGATAATTTTATTCCACTTATTTATACTTTAACATGAATCATCACAACTGAATAATTGCTAATAAAATCCTTACTTTGATTTGTCTGTAATAGACCTAAAAGACCTCTATTAATTACAAAGTGTGACCATCCTTTTGAAATGTGCATTTATAAGATTCACTTTTAAAAATTTTGTCTTTAGTGGATTTTATTTGGGAATGAACCTTGGAGAATCTACATATACATTACAACTAGCCTATAGTAAAATTCTACCAGAAGGACTGAAAAAATCTTACAGTTGCAAATGTGAAATCACTATCAAGTTATTTTTTTTTAATTCTTTCTTGCAGATTAGGGGTTTAGGAAGGCAAGCTGTCACAGCAATTATAAAATAGACTTTAGAGGTAGAAGGATGATTGGGATCTATTACTGTCTTTATACAAAGAAACAAATTACTCAACTTCTTTTACATTCTATTTGATGATCTATATTATAGGAATAGTAATATGGTGGTAAATATTGAATTAAAATAATTCTCTGAAGGGGCTTTGGTAAAGTTCTAGAGTATAGTTCAGTGTGAAATAAATTGTAGAATTGGGAAAGGAGCTGAGAGTATGTGGAAAAAGCATCAGAAACATCAGAAGTCTGTATTCTTTAATATATAACTAAACATAATAATATGTTATATATTATAATTTAGAAATGACCATCATAAGAGTTATCTTTCCTATTATTTTTTTCTCATTAGAACTGATTAATCCCTAGGGAGATTAGAGAGAAAACTGCATATTGTTACAAAGGAAATGTCAGGATTCACCTAACTCATCCTGTATGATATAAAAATAGAATAAGCCTCATGGCCACAGATCATAAAGGATCATGGGGCATAACACTTACCTCCCCAGCCACTGTCAATTGATATACAGCCAGGGAATTCACCCTCATATGCACAGACTGAACTATTAGAAGGCTTGACAAATCGACCTACAAAATAAACAGAGTAGATTTTTAAAAACCCTCTAAAATGAAGTTTAAACTTTATAATAGAGAATCATGAAAAAGAGGTGAAAAGATACACAGGTTCCTTGAACAAAAATAAATAAATTAATTAATTTTAAAAAGAAGGAGGAGGAGGAGGAGAAAGGAGGATTAATTCTTGCTGGTGATGTTATCCATAGTACCTCATTTATTTACACGTACTTTTGAGTGTTGGAAGATTTTCAAAGACATCAAGTCTGTAAAAGTCTCTCTTGACTAAGCAGAACCAACAGAACATTTCACTTCCAAGGCAGCCTCTGAGTCAACTGGTTCTTCCTAAATAAACTAAGAACTTCCTAAAATAATTAACTGTACAAAAAGTGATTTTCTGCATCAAGGTATGACATTCTAATACTTCTTTCTTTCTGAGCTCAGATTGAGTTTCTTAGTGGTCTGGTCACGTCCACAGAAGACAGATTTGAAATATAATTTCAGGAAACATATTACACTTCAGTTAGGCAACCTCAGTAATAAGAAAACTGGTCTAAGGATTAGAAAGAAGTTATGCTAGGTAGAAAAATGCTCTTAGACAGAGGAAGAAAAAAAAGAACTTTCTAAAAATGCTGAGTTCCACATTGAAGCATCTAATCTCTGCTTGGTTTTCCCAACCTAGTTGTTTCAGTACAAGAAGTGAGTAGTTTATTCACTAGTAATGATCTTCCCTATTTTCTTTCCAAAGGAATTCAATACTGAGTGTGATGTCTTAGCTTCTCTTTCCATTAATATTATATGAGGCAAAACCCAGGCTTTTCAGAGAAAGTATATTGTTTCCTTTATTTTGTATAAAATTTCACCCTTGGTCTTAAACACCTTAAAACTCTTAGTAATGAAGAAAGAAAGATGCGAAATTTATTGGAAATAATTAAAATATACATACCTGTTTTATATAGCTTTCCATAAAATAAGGTGAGTCCCCACAGCACGTTGCCTGTATCATTTTTTCCAAATTGAACAAAATATTTGTTTGATTCTCTTATAAGGATTTTATATATTTGCAGTCGATCCTTATACTTCCAGAGATCAATGATTATTTTATTATCCTGTACTGGAAATTCTGCTATGTCCCCATTAATCTGGTCCCAAAAAGGAGGGTATCTGTCATTTCCATCTGTGACTGACCCTGGAATTTGGGCTGATCCCACAGAAAAGCAGCTAAGGAATAGAAAAGTGGGGATCACCAAAGCAGACCACATCTTCTCACTGCCTTTGGGATTAAGCCTAAGTCTCAAATGAGAGCAAATTATATAGCAAGTGAAAGTCAAACAATCCCTCTGCCAATTCAAGAACAAATCTCTGATCAGACAGTAAGCTGATCAAAGTGCACTTATGTAACTAATTCGCAAATAAATGGGCATCTTCCAACGTATATTTAGTAACTAAAATGGTTGAAGGCTATTTCAAAATGCTTCAAGGAAGTAATTTGAATAGAATATTTACTGCAAATAGTCAAATGGTCAATTATTTCTTATAGTTTAAATTAAACGTGGTCAAGTTTTCCAAAATAATGCTGTAAGTATTTATTCAACCCAAATTAGTACTTTAAATATTTTGCAAAGACTGTCTCCCATTTGACAATGATCAGCCAAAACAAAACAAAAAACAAAAACAAAGAGAAAGAAATCAAATAAGTTTTGCCTTGGATAGATTAAAAGATAAAATTAAACTCTATATTTAATATCATATATTAATACATTTTCTTTCTTTCTTTCTTGAAAGGCCCTTTTAAATCATTGTTATATGTAATCTTGCAATAATTCTATGAGAAATACATTTCTACCACCATTTGAAAGATTATAAAAAACAGTAGAGCCAAAACAAAAGATTTAAGTACCATTGACTGGGGTTTACACAGGATATAAACTGTTTGCATTTCTTTTCTTTTATTTCCTTTTTATTTTTATTTTTTTTGGGGGGTATGGGAGTACCAGGGATTGAACTCAGGGGCACTCAGCCACATCCCCAGCACTATTTTGTATTTTATTTTGAGACAGGGTCTCACTGAATTGCTTAGCACCTTGCTTTTGCTGAGACTGGCTTTGGACTGGTGATCCTCCTGTTTCAGCCTCCCAAGCCACAGGAATTACAGGTGTGCTCCAACATGCCAGGCTATAAGCTGTATCTATTTCTAAAAGATATATATAAAATATAATAATAGTTATAATAATAGTTATACATAAACAAACAATCCCCAATTGTTTGATACATAGCCCCACCTTTGCAATTTGGAGGTATTGAGAGTCCATCCTCTCTCTTGAAGATGCATCACCATTGTTTGAGTACCTTTTTTCTAGGTGGGAAATAGACTCAGAGATTTATAGTTCATTGTCTTTAGATTTAGTATCCACAAAAATACATTTCATTTGAACTCATTAAAGTGTTTCTCCTACAGTGTCATAGTAACAACTGAGATATTTTTTAACCCCACACAGAATGGCAATGACAACTTTCTCATTATCTTGATTATGTGTGTTTGTGCTTTGTTTTCCCCTTGGGTTGAAGCAGAAACAGCAGAAAGAGCCATGTATGTGGCTATTAACATGTAGGAGTGCTGGGCTTTCTCTTTCCCATTCCCAGTGGCCCCAGTCTGCACCATCCACTTCTCTGCAATTGCTGCCATCATCTCTCCCATGACCAATTAGCGAGGGCCTAAGCCTCCACCATGGCCATCAGTTTCCAGAAAGAGGTAAGAGAGAAGCAGAGGGTGGCCACAGGTATTATGCCCCAACCAATTAATGACTGTGAGAGCATGTGTGTGGCCTCCTGGAGAGCCCTACCCCTTTTGCCTCACTTAGCTGTGACCTCTCCAGGAAGGGAACTGGAAGGTAGATGGGAGCAAGGTATAGGTACTTGGCATGATACCGAAGTTCAGCATCCTCTGTACTCTATATGACCATGAGCAGGCGCTGCCCCACAGCTGCTATAATTTTACCGGGACCACTCCTGTTCCTTTATTTTTAATCATAATGCAGTTAACAAGCAACAATGTTCCCTCTATGTAGAAGGGCATTCATGTAATCACATGATAGCCCCTCAATACCTACAATAACTGCTACCCCCACACACATGGAGATAGAAGACCATCCCAGGAGTTTCCTCTAGCATATCTCCCCTTTTAAGCCATAGTCCTGATGCCCATGGAGTTGGTTTTTTTTGTTTTTTTTTTTCTCCTGGCTGACCTACTTTCTGCAGCCTGGCATAGTGGGATAAATTGGTAAGAAACAAACAAACAAAAATGACTAACCAGGTGTTGTAATACACCTGTAATCCCACTGGTTAGGGAGGCTAAGGCAGGAGGATTGAAATTGCAAGTTCAAAGTCAGCTTCAGCAATTTACAAAGCCCTAAACAACTTAGTGAGACCCTGTCTCAAAATTTAAAATGGCTGGGTATGTGGCTTAGTGTGTAAGCACCCCTGAGTTCAATCCCTGGTTAAGAAATAAAAAGGAAAAACAAGATGGAATGTGAGATATACCATTATTGAGACAATTTCTGAGTAGCACATGAATGATCACTATCAAAAAAACTACCTCTTAGAGATTATCATCTATGAGATCATCTAACATTAATGTTCTTAGAAATGATTTCTAAGCAGAAATATCAGCTCTGCTGTCCCTAGGTTGCATATGATCCAAATGCCGAGGTCCTCTACATTCAAGAGTTTATAGTGTTAAAATTACCCAAGCTCTCTTTAATGAGACTATACCAATATTGCTGGAAAGTAGCACTTATGAGAAGGTTGGGGGAAGTTAAAGCACTTAGTAAAACACTTTGCATGTTAAGAGTAATCAAGTACTTTTGAGGATATAGTAGATGATTTTAATGATTAAAGATCAGTGCTATTTGAAATGGAGTTTTCAACACAACGGTAAATAACCTATACACATCAGATCTCTGGAGAAATCATCCTAAAAGGCAGAAACTCTCACCATCTCAAAAGGGTGTGATATGTAGTTAATTGGTATGTGCCAGAAATACAAAGAAAGCAAATGTCGGTTTGAGGAATTGTGTTAACAGAAGAAATTATACATAAGATATTTTTTAAAAAATAGAATTCAGTGCCCCCTGTTCTGAATAGGCCAGAGAAGTATAATCATCCTTTTATTAATCTATTTTTTTTTAAGAATTGATAATATATGGCAAAAGCCAATAGACTCCAACCATTTACTGATTTTGTCCAGAATTTATGTTCTTGGAACAAGATGGCTTCCTTAGTAGATTCCTTTGTAGGGACAAATGCCATGTCCAAGGGACATGAGCATACAGCCAAGTTGACTTCTCCATTTTAAATAAATAATTCTGTTTTATTTTTAAAATAAGGTGGCATTTGTGTATGTGTGTTTTGGCTATGTTATGTGAACAAGTTATGCAAGTTTCATCAATTCTGGCACACAGGCACAATTAACTTTTGTCTATAAAGATGAACACAAGTCCTTGGGCAAGAGGAGTAAACATGGAATCCTCTTTCAAGAAACTGGCCAACTTCACCTTGGTCACATTGTTTTTAAATGCCTGCATTTGCTCAAATTTCCAAATATTTATTGAGTATTTATCATAAGTTACTTGGGCATATGTTAGGGTCTGGTAAGATAGGAATATAAAATTGGAAAAAAAACACAAAATTTCTAGTATAGTGAAGCTCAATCCAGTTTAGCAAACTAAGTAGAAAAGCGAATGAGTCTTGTATTAAAACTTCTTCCAGATAGTTGTAAGTAGGATACTTTGACAATACAGGAAATACATTCCAGCACAAGAAGAAAGTCAAGTACTTTATCCCAATTCACGTGCAAATAGACTTGCAGGGGAACTGGGTCCTTCCTGAGAGTTCTGCTTGTCCCTAGGACTGGACACTAACTGGCATTTAGTATGGAGGTAAGTAGAAAATATCCAGAGACATACAGGAATGTCACACACAAAGAGAAATTTGTCCTATATCCATACTAACTGAAGCACTTATATAGTTGCAAATAGGTAATTATTTGAGCCCAACACTAATTTCACTAAAGAAATTATTTTATACTGTCAATATAAAAGCCATTATAAGGTAATTCAAGGGAAGATTGATAAAATTTTTGTCAAGTGATGAATTCTTATGTTAGTAAAAAAAAAAAATACCAATAGAAAAGGCTTTGAGACCATTTCAATTTTCAGCAAAAGCAAGCATATATAAGTCTACATTTGCAGTAGTTATCTTTGTGTGCCTTACTTATCAACATAAACATATGTTTTATCACATTTTGTAGTGTGTGATTGTGCTTCAACATTGGCATATTAAATACATATTTTGTTTTATGTATTTCTTTTTATTTCTTTTCATGTTGCCATTAGAAGATTGTGATATTTTCCTAATGAATTGAGGATAGCCTACATTATACAAAAAATTCATTTCATGATAAAAGTGAATCTAAAAATATTTATTCTAAAAAAGAAATTTTATTTAATACAGTTCTAAAATAAGTTTAAAAAATAAATGTACAAATAGATCTGTAGGGCTAGGAAAGAGTGCATTGAAAGCTACTCAGGATTTTTAAAAGGAGGTAGGAGTTAAATTAATAAGACCTTTGTTATCAAAGAAGAAAATTTAATTGTATTCTAATTTCACTATCCTGTAGACTCACCTTCTCCTGAGTCTGCCTCAGAAATGATTTGAGACCTTTGCTCAAAATATGGTGATATTCCAGGTTTTGTAACATAATAATTTTGTTTATCAAGTAATTGCATCTTTGGATTTGTACCTTTATGGTAAATATTTCATATACTACTCACCAGAACTTTTGGTTTGGAGGTGAACCATCTGATAAGCAGTTTGCTGATGCTAGTTTACCATTGTTGTGTTGCTATATTTCTTTCATTTAAGTGTACAGAATATTGACCTGAGTGGGTTTGTTTGCTTGTTTTTGTTTTTGTTTTAAGTTGTTCTGTGTCTTTTGAATGCACTGAGTATCTATAGGGAAAAGATAATAGTTTTAGGGGCTGGGGTTGTGGCTCAGTGGTAGAGTGCTCGCCTAGCACGGGCGAGGCCCTGGGTTCGATCCTCAGAACTACATAAAAATAAATAAATAAAATAAAGGTATTGTGTCCAACTACAACTAAAAAATAAATATTAAAAAAGATAATAGGTGTAGCTCTGATAGGTATATGGAAAATTTATTTATTTATTTAAATTATAGTAACAGGGGCTTTATTAAGGAGTATCCGACTTGCCAAAATCAATACAAGGAAGTCCTTTACAATAATGAA